TATTTAGTGAATTTTTGATTAATCTAAATTGTTCTATTCACTCTTAATTTTCAGATGCGTTTATCTTCTTTTTAAGTCTTCTTTACTTTTCTGGCCGATTTGCAGTGTGAGTGAAAAGCAGATGGACAGCGCCACCCGTGTGGTCGGTTTATCGGGTAAAGAATGAATATAAAAGGTAACTAAAATAAACATAAATACATGCTCTCATATAGGAAGTAGAGCAGTGCAAGACACTTGAATAATTTAAGGTCGATGATAGAATTCTCGGGAGCCCAGTATATCATTCCTTTAATCCATTTCTTGATTCTCTGGTGTTGTAACAAGATATCAGGCTCAAGTTAAGCTTCTACTTCTAGGAGCACATATTTCATCTCATCATTTCTGCTACCATAATTATCAGGATCTACATCCTACTGGCACTCAAGGATACCAAAGAGCATCCAATTTGGTCAAAAAACAGTTGATAGAAGGCTTCTGAGAAGAAGACATGACACGCGCTTGGTGGCCTCACAGGGTGAGGTATAATTAGGTAACACACAATACAAGTAGCAGGGTTAAATGTTTTCTCGTTGGCAAGGCATCAGGGTCCTACAATGCACTGAGCTCCTTACAAATAGACATAGATAATAGTTTAGTAGCATCAAAAGTTTCACATTTGGCCATATTGTCCACGGATGTGATTACGAGTATATACAATTACACAGATATACCAGGTAACAGCGGACACATACCGTGAGCTCACACAAACAATTAGAACGGTGGACCTATATCAGGTACAATACACACAATGGGACAACCTCTCTATATATAGGAGACATGTATCTCATATCATCAGCAACATCTTTGTTAGAAAAGTAAGAACCGAAATATGCCTCTCGCGCTCTCTTAGAGAAGCATCTCGACGCTGAGAGAGAGAGAGACACAAACAGGACTATTGTTAGCGGGGAGGCACTGCTTGCTGGTTTTGTTTGTGATCCACGAAAAATGTTTTCCACCTTTAATATGACGTCGGCAGTACCAGCTAGAATGATGTCATTAAAGCTGTGACTGAATTGCAGATCAGGCTGAATGTGTGGTGGGTGTGGAGGTCACACCCCACACACAAAACACACACTGCTGTGTGATGAACATGATTTTGATTATTGATCAAGGTGTCCTGTAGCTCTGTGGGAGGTGGAGCTCTTCCAGTGAGGACCAGACTCCAGAATATAAACTAAATGTCCTCCAAAACTGGCAATTGTGTTACTCAACCTGCGGCAACCGGCCAAAACCGCCCGGCAGTCAGCTGATGCGCAGGGCGTTTTAGTTTTAAAGCTCAAAATGACAGAGAGGAGCCGTCGCCTGGGGAGTATCGTCTCCACAGCCGACGGTGAACAAACCTGGAGGCAGATTTCTGTTTTTATTCCTCTTGTTCAGCTGATCTGGAGGGTCAGAACAAGCTGGGTCGTCACCCAACGGCAACAGAGGAGGACTGTCACATTAACAACTTCAGTGAGGAGGGTCGTTACCACAGCAACGAAGTGGAGCAAGGAAGGATTTGTCACCATGCGAACGACGGGAAACAAAGGTTGAAAACCGTCAGTAAAGGCAGTAAAGGCAGTAAAGAACAGTGGACAAGCTGCAATAAAGACAGTAGAAGTGGGCATAAAGACAGTAGAAAGGAAAGTAAAGACAGTGGAGGGGAGTAAGACAGTGAAGGGGCAGTAAAGACAGGTAAAAAGGGGAAGTAAAGAACAAGTAAAAGGGGGCAGTAAAGACAGTGGAAGGGGCAGTAAAAAGACAGTGGAAAGGGGCAGTAAAGACAGTGGAAGGGGGCAGTAAAAAGACAGTGAAGGGGCAAGTAAAGACATGTGGAAGGGGCAGTAAAGACAAAGTGGAAGGGGCAGTAAAAGACAGTGGAAAGGGCAGTAAAGACAGTGGAAGGGGCAGTAAAAAGACAGTGGAAGGGGCAGTAAAGACAGTAAAAGGGGCAGTAAAGACAGTAGAAGGGCAGTAAAGACAGTGGAAGAAGGGCAGATAAAGACAGTAGAAGGGGCGTAAAGACAGTGAAGGGGCAGTAAAGACAGTGGAAGGGGCAGTAAAGACAGTGGAAGGGGCAGAGTCCAGTTGTGCAGTCAGTCGTTTTCTGTTTACATCATATTTCATCCTATTTCTTTAATGTTCTTTAGATGTTTCAGTCGGTTGTAGAAATCTGAAGAAATGTTGTAATCGCTAAGCTGTAATCGATTATTACTGTGTTATTGACAAGTGACGTTGTTGTACTGTGCAGGAGGAAATGACAGAAACTCAGAGAACTTCTCAACAGCAGAGTTTTTATTAGAAACACGAGAATAAAGACTCAATGAAAACATCGACTTTTCTCTCTGCAGGACTTTTAGTGTTCAAAGGCGTCAAACCGGCCGACAGTCGTCCACCGTCAGACACTGCAGATAAAGGAAGTGGACAAACGTCTCCTCACACTGAAACTGAACATCAGAACTTCTGGAGGACAAACAGGACAATCCAATGTAATCTGATTACACTGAAACGTGTTGATCATCACAAAAAAACCGACACAAAGCTGCTCTGCTCGAGGTTTTGTGATGATCAATACGTTGGCTGAGCTCAGTATGATGAACAGCTGACGGAGGAAAACACACTGAAACAAGAGTTTCCTTATGTATACATATTGAACTTTCATTTGCTCACATGTTGGATTATAACCTGTTAAAGCAGCAGACGTGTACTTTCTCTCCTGCACTGTGTCAGATTATTAATATATTTTTCATACTTTTCCAGGCAGCTTTTGGTTTCCTTAAGGTTTAAAATCATCATCCCAGCACTGACCGTCTTCAGTTTATTGCTTCATAACAATAATAATTATAATAACAACAGACGTGATGATGTGACAGATTCCAACAGATCTGAAGTCCTTAAAGAAATGAATGAAAAGTTGATTTGGACCAATCAGAATGCTCCGCTGTATCTGCAGGTTAAAATCACATGGAGGCTTTTATTGTGAAGCAACTACAGGAACCCGGTATTTTTCTCCAACTTTTGATTCTTCTAGAACTTTATTTTTCCAGTGGATCAGTTTGAAATATTACAGGAAAGAATGTTAATGATGGTCTGAAATGTGGAACTGCTGCTCTGCTCCTTTAAAACGAAGCTTTGTGACTAAAACTGCTCAGATAGTTTGATTTGAACACCTTTAAAGGCTGCAGGTGTAAAAACAGAAATGTGCTTTAACATGCATCTCTATTGGTTGTCATGGTAACTCAGGCAGCAAATGCAAAATAAAAGAATAAACTGAGAAAGGACGGCCGAGGGGACAGCCGAGGGGACAGCCGAGGGGACAGCCGAGGTCAGGCGGCGCTGGAGACGGCGAGCTTCTTCAGGTGATCCATGAACACCTGCAGGCTGACGTCGTCCGTCAGGATGGGAGCTCCGGACTCCTGCGGAAGGTTCCAGAGGTCACTACAGTCACTACAGGTTGCACATCATCAACACTGAATCTGAAGGTCAAAGGGCAAAGACTCACCTGACCCCAGGCGTACATGTTGTTGTGGGTCTGAGAGGGGTTCACTTTGGAGAGCAGGAAGCGAGCCTGGAGAACATCATCATCATCATCATCATCATCACACACACTGAACTCTGTGTGTGTACAAGTATTCAATGTGTGTATTTGTGCTGGGGCTGGACTGACCGATACAGACACTGATTATTAGTAACCAGGGAAACCAATAACCAATAATTGGAAAAGAGTCTAAATAAAGTGGTGGAGTGTAACTAAGTACATTTACTCAGTAAAAGTACTTTTACTTTAATATGTTGCTGTCCTCGTCATTGGTACAGAAGCCTTCAGTGTTGACAGATTACTACTCGTGATGTTTACCAATCATATAGTGCTGTGGGCGGGACTTAGGGATCCACTGATTATTACTCCTTCTAATATCTACTAATAAACTCATAAAGTCAACATCTCCTGATTTACTGCTTCTGTTTCAGTCAACGTGAACCCAGAAGAGTTTCCTGTTAGAACTGTTCAGTCTGGGTCTCCAGCTGTTACACTGACTGATGCTAACCTGCATATGTTGGACAGTTAGCATCATTAGCATCAATAATCAGCTATATGGACGATATCTCTGCAGCTGATTGGCTGAAATAAAGAAGTGCTTTGGGGGTTACTGATGATACTGAATCCATTTCAAACAGTATATTTGAGCTCCCAGTGGGCAGATGTTGATTCATTCAGAGGTTATTTATATGATCCATACTTTGGAGCTGCAGGTTAGAATCAATAAATCATTATTTTTTTTATTTTTTTTATTTTTATTGTCATTGATGTGAATGTTCAGACGGAATATTAATTTCTTCAGTTCTGCTGCAGTATTTTGTCACTGACCTGTGTCTTTGTGGTTATGTATTCATCATATCAATAAGCTCAAAATGACTTGAATCAAAATCAGCCCACTGGGGCCGAAATATGGCTTTAATGATAGACAGCTGTAGAGAGACAGAAAAGGTGGGTGGAGAAGAGGGGATGAACACGCCAGCAAAAAGGGCCCGCAGGTCAGATTCGAACCCGGGCCGCTACAGCAACTCCTTATATGGGTCCCTAGCTCTACTGACTGAGCTAACCGGGCGCCCGATATGGTGATTTTAAACGTCCATTTAGTATTTAGAAAATGTCGGAAACACCGTTACAGTGGTGCTCTCTTGGTGTACAGTATCATAATGTTATTAAGCAGTATAGTATTCAGCATAAAGCTGTTTACTATATGTGTACGGTACATGTATTGTGTTAGCGCCCCCACCTGGCTGCCTCCGTGCTCCGTGTCGATGTATCTGGGCATGGGGAAGCGAGTGTGCAGCAGCTCCTGAGCGTCGTCCACCGGAGCCTGAAGCAGATGTCTGAAGTTCTCATACTCGGGCATTTCCTGGTAGCCGGCCTTCCTCCACTGAGCCACAGTCTGAGCACAGGAGAATTACAGGTACATCAGGTGCTGCTCCTCTCTCACTGCTCTTAATCATTCATTATTCATTGTTCCCCAACCATTGGTCTGATTACAGCTCAGCCAGTGTGTGAATAACCTTTACAGGTGATATGTGGCTGCTATGAACTCACAGCATTATTAATATACAGTACATGGCTGTGTGATATGACCAACATATCATATCCTGGTAATGATAGACATCCTGATACAGCACATTTCTGTACATTCAATAGTTTATAGAAAATGACCACATGGAAATCTTAGTACATCTGGAAGGAAATATGTTCAATTAAACATGCACCAAAAAATAAAATATGTAAGTCTGTCTCCCACACTCTGATTGGACGTTTCAGGTATTTTAACTCTAAACGTTCAAAGAAAAAGTCCAAATGACGCCTGCAGAGCTCAACTGGGGTGTTTCCCATTATTCTTAAACAACGTGTGTGTGTGTGCAGTGTGTGTGTACAGTGTGTGTGCAGTGTGTGTGTACAGTGTGTGTGTACAGTGTGTGTGTACAGTGTGTGTATTGTGGTGTGTGTGTACAGTGTTTTGTGTACAGTGTGGTGTGCCAGTGTGTGTGTGTACAGTGTGTGTACAAGTGTGTGGTACTTGTGGGTGTGTGTGTACAGTGTGTGTGTACAGTGTGTGTATTTGTGGTGTGTGTGTACAGTGTTTGTGTGCAGTGTGTGTGCAGAGTGTGTGTGTACAGTGTGTGTACTGTGGTGTGTGTGTGTGTACAGTGTGTGTATTGTGGTGTGTGTGTACCTCTCCGTGGTAGATGAGGATCTGGAAGAAAGTGTCCATCAGCAGGATTCGGTCTGGCAGAATGCTGCTGCTGTCCAACAGGACCGGCTGAAACACACAATCACTGATCAATCACTGATCAATCACTGATCAATCACTGATCAATCACTGATCAATCACTGAGACGGCAGCTGCTACATTAACTGTTTTCTGTTTTTTTGCATTAAAGCTTCATTTTTAAGTGTTCACAGACTTTTAACAGAAACCGAAGCTGTCAACACAAAGAACACAGATGTGTGTACAGGTGTGTGAACTAGTGTGTGTGCAGGTGTGTGTACAGGTGTACAAACATACCTCAGGTGGTCCGTTGAATGAATAAGCGTAGAGCACAGGCTGGATCATAATGAGAGCCTGAGTCAGGTCCTGTCTGTTGAACTGATGTCTGTAATATGAACTCTCATCTGGACTGTTGTTGAACACCTGCAAGAACGGAGAGCGCCGCAGGTGGAACATGAACTGGAAAACAAAAGAAAACACACAGGTAAGCAACAGGTGAGCAACAGGTAACAGGTCAGGTGTTACAGAATGTAGAACAGGTACAGCAGAGCCTTATGGGATGTAGATCACCTGAGGGTAGAGAGAGAAGGTCTCAGAGAACCTGAAGGAGTTTGGATCGTCTTTGTGATAATCTCCAAACTTCTGACACTGAACAGGAACAAACAAACAAACAAAATTAATTAGTTTAAATCAGTTTATTTACAAACAAACAAACATATCTGAAGCTCACTGTACCAGTCTGATCAGCTGTCTGTCCAACCAGCGCAGAACATCAGGCCCCTCCTCTGTCTCCGCCCGGTACACCGCCAACCTCGCCATCAAGATGGCTGCCGCCTCTTGATCGAAGGATGCCGCGATGCTCTGAATCTGAGTCTGAGCGTCTGCCCAGCTGGAGGGGGAGGAGGGGGAGGAGAGGGAGGAGAGAGGAAGAAAGGGGACGAGGATTTGAGAAGAGATGCAAACGCATATAAGTATGTAGGTATGTAATAAATATAAGTATATAAGTATACAAGTAGA